CAAACTTTCCATGCATGATCTTAATCATTTTATGAAATACCTTCACGTGAGAACAATGAATAAATCTTTTTAACCGGTGGCGACTGAGTTTCTGAAAATTTGTTACAGTCACTCGTGCTCTTATGAATATGCACCTTTTTTCGTCAGCAGGACTATTTTGGACAGTATCTCGAGTGATTTTGAAGTTCTTCGCCTCAGATTGTTTGCTAACTTGTCCAAGGATGAACATTGAAGTTGTAAACTGTGTCGAATCGATAAATTAACCCAGCCTAATCGTTACATAAAGTCTAACCATGTATAAACGGTAAAGCTCATGAAGCGATGACTCTTCGGTGCAAGATTTTTTAAATCCGGCAGTAAATGGATCTGGAGAACCCACATCAATCATAATTATGCATGCTGGTGAATAAAGTTGCCGATAAATCCATTTTGCTCTAATTTCGATTTATCTGACAAATACCTCAACTCTGTTCAGAGCATCGGCACTATGGACTCAATAAATGACTGGATGCTCTGCTTTCCCATCACATTGACTTGCACGTACCAAAAACCTCATGGGATTATCTCAGCGATTTTCTCAATTCAATATTATCATTATCAAAGCCTGTCGAATTAATCTCTGCCGCTGAAACATTCAAGATCTACGTCGATGATACAGGGGACTTTGATCTTTCGAAACTGTTGTTACAAGGCTCTGGTATGATTATGCGATGTGATTTTTCAGTGATACCACTGCAGTAAAAGCCGTGACCTGTGAGCAGTTCTAGTGTATTAAATATATGCAACATTTGCACGGATAGTTCTTTCCCGTGATCTTGTCGTGTCGATTAAGCAACCGAGCAAAATCTCTATCAATACAAAGTTGATATCGATTATGATTCTTTAATTTCATTTAGCAGCAACAAGTCTCTCTGGATTCGTTAGAGTTACCCATGGGGAGGGGGGTGATGTCAGCTGATTAAAGCGTCTGTCATAAGTAAATACATTAACAGCGATACTTGGGGTTAAGTGTAACCTCTATGCTAATTTCAATATCAGTAAAGTTGAGATTATCCAAGTGTTGCTGATATTTTGGGGGCAAGTCTTGGGTATCACTGACCGGATATAACGACAAAATTACTCATTCAAAAAAAAAATTGTTGTCAAATTTTTTAACGTTTATAACTGACCTTGGCGGTACCCATACTGGTGTTCTTATGTAGCTGGATCCACCAAATGTCTGATACTGTGAGAGATATACCTCAATTTTCGCACATCTTTTAAAAGTCTATCTCAATCATGCGTTGGTGTATTTCTCCAAAACTTCGAAATTCTTTTTAATAACTCTGCCAATTTTATCACTGATGGAGCAGTTCAGGATAACGTAGGCACAACTGTGAATCCACAGAATAGTAGTTTTACATCAATCTTTTTTTACGATTTAGCAACATAACCAGATGTGCACTAAGCACATTGTCTGCTTTAGCCCAAGCGCGACCAAAGTTTTGTCATAGTTGTCGAGTGGATGGGATAATTGCAATGTGATTTTCCATTCAACACTACGTTTTTGAAATTTTAATTCAGGTCCTGTGATTATTTTGGTTTTGGACGAACATACTCAACTGCTCCAGTAGCATAACATTTGAAAGACGACAACGATTTTGTTCATACTAGTCTAATACCACAAGGATGTCGGTTTACTTGCACCTCTGTGTATTCAGATATTTAGCTCACTTGCAAATAGTTGCTTTCTCAGTTTTATTTGTACTGGTGGATGTTGTTGTTGCTGATGCAGTGACAATAGATGATGGCATATGCCGTACAAAAATAGGTTTCAATTAAGTCTTTCTCAGTCGGCTTAGTATGTGCATTTCATGCTGCCGTGCGACCTATTATTGCTGCGACACAACATGCATGTTTATTCTAAAGGGATGGTAAAGAATATTTATAACTAGGAAATTCTGTAGATAGCTTGTTGCATATTTTGTATTTTATCAGGATTAGAAATTTCAATCCTTGTGATTAGTTTCTTTACTTATGTTTTATTTTTTTGTGTATAGTTGTTTGTGGTTTTGATATATTTATGCACGCTTTATGGTATTCACGAACAGATCCACAGGGCAGGCAAATTTGCTTATGTCATTTTACTCCAATGCCACATTTAAGAAAGGGTCGTGAACCTAAAGTATCACGTAACACCTAAGTACGTGTTTTACAGTACTCATATTGGCATATTCTTCCACAAAGCTCGTATTTTCCAAGGCAATCATGCAGCTTTGCATTTGTTGAGTCTCAATTACATGGAGCTGTCTGTGCATACAAGCGAGCGCTTTATCTAATTGATGAAAACATTGCTACGTTTTCTTTGCTTTATTCTTTGATAAACCTCCAAAGGTATTTTTTTTTAAATCCTCTGGTTTCTGCTATTAATAGAAGTAACACAGAGATATAAATCATCCCTCCCTCGTCAAACGATTACGTGCGCATATTTTAGGAAAATCATAGCGAAATTGCTTTGTCTGCTTAACAAAACTTCTTTCAGAAAGAAGCCTGCCTCAGTAACCTCAAATGAAGCATCACTGAATATGATATCAACATGAAATGCGTCAGTTTGTCGTTGTCGTAAGTACCCACTAATGTCAAACGTATTGTAAATGTCAACCGCATGTTTGAGTTGTTTAATTTGTAATTTGCTTATTTTCTCGTATGCCAACTATTATGCATATATTAAAATTCCCAAAATCTGCAGTTAAAATTAACCAGCAGTTACATTATCCAAAACTACTAACTTGACAAAGCTTTGGTCTGTTGGCATGTGTTACGTAATTGTAGAACAAGCTAAATACGGAAACACCTGTCCTATTAATGATATTTAACACCTCTCCTATTAATGATATTTAACACCTGTCCTATTAATGATATTTTCATTCTGATCCTTCTTACCGACCATACAAATACAAAATCTGTTTAAGGGACGGATGTTTAGGTATCATAAACTACGCCACGGGGCAGTATTATTTAATAGGCACATTACTTAGAGCGTACGAAACCATGTTACTTAAAGGTGTAAACAGAAAGAGGCACTTATGCTGTCAATCGTTTACAAAGTGTTGACAAGGGCCGTAATCCAAACTTGTAAACTGCAACTAAAGAAGTCTGTTGAATGCATGCTCATTTCAAGTAACAGATGAGTGTGTGATGTATACGATGAAACATGTGCTAAAATAATTTTAAAAAAGCCTATTATCTTTTCTGTTCTCGTTCCATTTTACAATTCAAAATGAAGGCGCATAATAGAGATATGCCAATTATACCGTGTCAAACTGGAAGCCAATTGAAGAGGTTTTTTAGTGGACAGTACTGCTCATTAATTTTTCGAAGGTCTTCCTCAGAGTATCACCAGCATCTTTGGTGAAAAGAGACGTCATAATGATCACAACTACTGGAGTGTTACTGGCGCCATTTTAGTTTAGGACCATCAAGAAAACGTACTGTAAGAAGTCTGTTTGTGGAAGCACGATGTTGATATATATATATATATATATATATATATATATATATATATATATATATATATATATATATATATATATATATATATAGAGAGAGAGAGAGAGAGAGAGAGAGAGAGAGAGAGAGAGAGAGAGAGAGAGAGAGAGAATAAGATGTCCCATTTCATATGTATTAAAATCTGAACTGCAAATGTCTGTTCTTCAATTTACGATGGAAATTAAAAACAGAAAATATCAAATATAACTTATCAAAATTGTATTATACTGAAAGATAAGGGATTTATTTCAAGTGGGCGAGCCCCACCATCACCAACAGAATATTCAAAGATTGCATTTTTTTTTTCGAACAGCTATTGCCTATAATTTGTATTTAATAATAGGAATCTGATGTATTTACCGATGTGACCAAATTCCCTCAAAGGGACCGAAACTCTACCGGGCGAGCCTCGCCCTTCCCGTCCGAATTCAAGATGAGACCATTTCATCATGTCAGATGTTGAGTGCTGAAACTGTCTTTGAGATTCTTAAAAGGTAACAAGATTTTTAAAGTAGCTGCGTTGGTGGACACTATGTCAGTCTTAGACCATTTTCATTAGAAATCTTTTGGTGAAAAGAAATGTTACAATGATCACATTCAGCCGGAGAAGTGGCAACATTTTCTGGAGAACCGTCGTGGTAGCTATATTGGATGTGTTACTTGCGCCATTTTTGTTTAGGACCAACAAGAAAAGGTACCGTAAGAAGTCTTTTGGCGGAGGCTCTATGTCGATATAACGATCTATTTGTAAGATGTAGAGATAAAAATATTTCCAAGATGGCCACCCGGGTTACCATACTGAGGGTTAGTCATTTTCATTCATGTCACCATAAGATTTCTGGTTAAAATCCTATATCAAAATAAAGTAGCCAGAGCAAGATCTTCAAGATGGCCATTTACTGGGCACCAGACAAGCACCATTTTGATTTAGGGTCAACAACAGATTTTAAGAAGTCTTGCGGTAAAAGCCCCATGCTGTTATGAGAGCTTTAATTCAGGAGTACTTATAAAACAAAAAATTCATGGTGGCCACTGTGGCATCCATACTAAATATCAGATAGGTACAAGGTTTAGACATCGTAAGTCTTTTGGTGAGAACACCACGTCAATAAATCCTTCTATGCAGTAATAGCAACAATAAAAAGATTTTCATTTAGACGGCTAGACATCATAAGACGTCTTTTTTGTGAAAACCAAATGCTGATTTGACAACATATGAAGGAGGTGTGGTGTGGTGGTGTTTATAATTTTTAACGTAGCTTTAACAATTTTTCAGTCATATCGCTACGGTGTCTGCAGCGTTTAAGTTTATAGTGATGTCTAGCACTGGGACATCATGCCGCAGACATGAAGCATGATGTCCCACCCAGTCACATTATCCTGACACCAGGCCGACCAGTCCTAACACTAACCTCTTAATGCTGAGCGTCAAGCGACGCAGCTGTTAGTACCATTTCTGTAAGTCTTTGGTATGACTCGACCGGGGATCGAACCCACGACCTCTCGTATCCGAGGCTTACGCTCTAACCACCAGGCCACCGGAGCTAGGGTGAAGTAGCGATGACAAGCTTTCAAGATGACCGTCCAATGTATATTAGATGAGACATCAGCAGCATTTTTTTTTGATTTAGGACTAACTAAACTATGAAATAAATGTTTATATACAGTTTCATTTTAATATTCCAGATGGATTACGAGGAGTAACATTAACAAACGACTGCTAACAGACGGACTAAAGGCCATCCCATAAGCTCTATTGGTCTAGTAGAGAAAGAAAGCAAGCAACTTGCACACCTGTGTTTGAATGCACACCTTTCCATATTCTTTCCCATAGCTATCACTTGTTTTCCTTTTTCTGTCAGTAACTATACTGACAGTATGTGTAGCAATAATAGTTTCAATTTCTAAAAATTCCACAGGATCACTGTTTCATAACCTATCACACATTCCCATCACTTTAATATGTGCGCAAATGAGCACTTTGTTCTAGTGATACATTCATTTTACATAATACTTTGATCTAATGGTATTGTCCCTTTGCATAAACGTGTACTTTGTTCTAGTGATACTTTCCTTCAACATACATATTATGTGAATGTGATCCCTGCGCGTACTTTTTGGAGGGGCAAACTTTTAAACGCAATTATTCGTAAACATTGCAATATAAATTTATAATAACGACTTCATGTATAGCGGATTCACAGAGAAGTATAAAGAGAAACTACACTAAATAACCTTTAAATGTATCACATTACCACACCTAAATGACCTTTACATATATCACATTACCACCCTAAATGACCTTTACGTGTATCACATTACCACCCTAAATGACCTTTATATGTATCACATTACCACCCTAAATGACCTTTACATGTATCACATTAAAGTAAAGGCATTCAGAGAGAGGCTTTCACCTCATATTAATCACCAAAAAGTATAGTAATCTACAATAAAGTTTTCACCTTAAATGTATCACAAAAAGGTACAGCCATTGTACTTTCAGACAGAATTTTTAAATTTATCACAATAATGTAAAGGTATTTTACTTTCTGATAGAAGTTTTCGCATCTGGAAATAATTACGAAACCTGTTAAGAGATTCAACGACACCTTGAGTACTATCATCCATCAAATGCATTGAGGCTTATGTTCTCTTCTTGGCTATTACACCAGGTATTATGTCCATATGGCTGCAAATGAGCTAAATAATTACTGTAATAATTTTAACCGATTGGATGACCAAAATTAAAGTATTTTAATTACAAATGGTTAAACACATTTAATCAATTGCCACTTTAAAAAAAAGCAAATTCAAGACTTTTTAGTTCCAAAACTTCACCGAAACAAAACAAAAAATCGAAAATCATTCCGAACCAATCATTATAAATTAACACGAAAGCACTCACATTTGTCCTCACGCCATAGTATTGATTTTTTCAAACCATATTGGTCGCTGATATTACAGATAATAACCCGAACTTTTAAACTACCTGTTGAGGCAGTCAATTCAAAACAAAATGTCAATGTTTTGTACTTTGTAAATTTCTGGTAAATTTATAAAAACGATTTTTTTTTAAATAAAAAAATTGCTTGTTCCAAATGCCAGTTTACTAAAAATGGCACATAAACCTAAACGGAATTTCACACAGGGTGGTTGCCCTCTACATTGTCAAGTTCATTTTAATTTGCACCCATTTTATACTGCGTTCTGTATCGGCTCACAGAATCATTGGATTCTAATGTGTAGCCAACAGAAAAGGTTCCTGGTTTAAAAAATCAGATTAAAATGCGGTAATTTTTTTCGTTATGCATTGTTTGTTGGCTTCCCTTCATTATTATGCTATGTATAAATATGGTTTACCCGACTTGACATTTATTTTGTAAACAACAGAATACATAGCTAATATTTATCCATGATTATAGATTAAATAATATTCAGTTATTTATTAATGGAAATACACATGCTAGCTCTATATATATTAATTAATTAACGACGTTTGCTTGAAAGCATGTTACGGTAAGAATAAGTTAAGTGAAATTAGTCTTACTGTTGTGATCGATTATTATTTCGGGTGGATTTATTTATTTAAATTATCCACATGAATTACAAAGTGGTCATTCATAATTCTATAATTAATTTGTAGTTATTGTGAGTTCAGCCAAGGACATTTATATTAATGATGATACATCAGAGGACTGTTTACACATTGTTCAGGTCATTGGCACAATTGCACATCAAAAACTACAGGTACATCAACACATTCAATATTCATATTTATTTGGAATACCAATGGAATACAATTAGTACAATTGGGATTTAATACGCAATACTGGAAGTTCTATTTTCACTATTTTCATTCTGTATTTTACGGAAATAAATTATTTGACGAATTCTACAAAACTTGTAAGTTTTCAGTTTTCTGTTACTTAGTTTAAGACCAAAATTTCGCAACATGTTTAATTTGTTAAGATGATTTAATGGTGATGCACAGTTATCTTTTCAGTTTAAAATCCATCTTGACTCGGACAATTTATCATGAATCTAATCACATTAGAAGTAGTCGATTACTTTAGGATAAGAGTCTACCTTTTTTTTTGCATTGCATTCTTCCTGCGCTGTTGCCATCTTCTGCACTTGTGACAGTTACACATGTACCAGGGTTTTCTAGAGTATACAAAAGATGCACTGTATCTGCTTGTATGAGTAAACCCAATTCAATACATTTAAGTTAAAATAATCGTGAAATTTTCTCCCCCTCTCTGCATTCATTGCAAATTTCACTGTGAACTTCCTCTACACAATCTTTACATCTCTTGCACTTTGTAATGTTTCTCGTTGCTCTAAGAGTTGTTCTCTATTGCATTCATAACATCACAACCCATAATTTCAAATACTTATTTTACCATATAATTTATTTTATTTTAATTCTGTTTTGATTTTATTTTAAGTTCTGAAGGAAACCCAGAACAAACCAAGAAACACCGTGTTATAACCATCGGGAAATGTGAACTGGATCTTTTCATATGGACTACAAATTTCAAATTGAACTGATTTAGCTAAATTTCTTTGTAACTGAATGTTTAATGAATACAATGGAGTCGTACGTCGGAAAAACGAAAACAAAACAACAAAAAACCCAAAAAGAAACTCAACTCAGTATTAATACGAATTTGATGACTCACCAAGATTGTTCTACATTATTTCCATTTTAGAAAAGTTCTGCTATCACATTATTGAAACAACACTTAATTATCGTAAGCCCTTATTTTTTTTCTTCAAATTTTAAAATTTTGGAAAATATTTTCAGCTTTTTTAATATAAAAAGTTTTGAACCTTTCATTTTCACTTTCCAGTAGACCTAATGAACCTTATCTACTTTTAAGTAACCCTGTCATACATTTTTCTGATATGTTACTTTCCCTCTGGTTTTTTAATTAGTACATGCAAACATGCCGTGCGTTTGCTAACAGTGTCTCGGTCCACTTCGCCGTACTCAGACCACTCCCATCTGAACAGTCCAGAAAATTGCTGTCATGTTCCCAAAACTATAAACCCTCTTCTTCAGCCACATCTCAAAAAATACATACATTTTACTGTTCTTTCATTTTGTCATGATTCTGAGAACTCTGTAAAACAAATTTCATTTTCAAGATAGCTCACAAGACAAGCCTGGTTTCCTCTACCGTTAAGTTTTCCGGTTTGTCAACAAGATCATCTAAAACTACTTGGGGAATTTTGGTGCCCTGGGTGGTAGTGTAAGGCACTTGCTTTTACAGATCACTCGAATAACGCCTGTCTGTTCAAGTCTTGTCTGCCAACACAAATATGTGAGAAAGCTTTCCAGTAGCTTCCTTTGGGTCGGTGATTCTTCATTCACTAGATATAATGTCCGCCATTTAAAGCCCATCGTGCTGAAAAATGGCGTTAAGCTCATTCACTTTTAATATTTCCTCAGTGAAGTTTGGAAGTTTCCAAAATAGTTATATACTTTTACTTCACCAATTTTTAATACAAGAGTTCCAAATAAATCGGTGCTGGTTTAGCCATACAGTTTGGCGAAACCTTTAGTCCGCTTCCTTCCTTGCCGTTTGAGCTGGAATAATGTATGTTGTGTAAGCTACTGTACCAGTGTTATCACGTCAATCCTTCTTATGGATTATGTTTCTAGACTTTTAAGGTTCACTTAAATCTTTCCACTATTGATCTTTGTTCTAGGAGTAAGCTGAAAAGCATTGAACATTTGCTATTTCCAGCCAATTACTGCTCTAGTAACAGAGGATGACATAACAAAAACTTATTTAAAAGTCCTTTTTTCTGTATGCTGTTAAATCTGGTCATATTCGTTGTTGTTTTGTTTTTTGTTTTTTTTCAAGAGGTCATGTGAAGGATTCTGTTTCTAGTGATGGCATGTATTTTGGAAATCAGCAATACCCGAATAAAATCAAATACCAGGTAGCTATTACATTTCCTAAAATTCTGTTGCAGTTTTAATAAGTATCCCTAGAGTTGATTCTTGACAACTTTTCAAGGAATTTCACAAACAAAAGCACGAAAGACATGAAAATAGCATAACTAGGACCACAAGGCTGTTTAGTTCACCAGTTGGAGTCTTGTGGGAGGCTCAGGGGTGGATGGGTGTGAAACCCCCTCCCCGTCATAAACCAATTTTTAAGTCCAAAATTAGCTTTTCCAGAGACTTATTGAACATTTTATAAAAACCTAATGCAAGTCACAAAACAAACACTAATGACTAATGTTATTTCCTTGCATCTACCATATATACTTACTTATGGGTCCAATTGCAAACTGCAGACCCAGACCTAATGTTGCATATGTGACAGATCTTTGTCTTTTAGGAGTAATTAGTGGAACAAACTACATAGACCATGATCTGCAGGTGCATTATACCAAGACAGATCAGGATCCATGTTTTTACAGTTTAAATTGATGGATAGATGAGTATATATATGTATTCAGTTTGAGAGCACTGGAGCATGTTAATAGTCTTTCCTATGACAGCAGGTCATTTTCCTCTAACCAGTC